GTTAAAAATTAATTTTCGATCACAGGTTTTTTGCATGTCACAGATTTCCAAATTAATTGGTCACAGATAAAAAGTTTTCTAGATCACAATTAATTCGTTGGTCACAGATCAAAATTTATAGGTCATACAGTCACAGATTTTTTCACGGTTACAGATTATATAATTTTTAGGTTACGGGTAACAAAATAGTTGGTCACAGATAATTGAATTTGTCACGTTCCAGGCTCAATTGGTCAAGACCCATGGTTGGGCTTAGGTGCGCCATGTAAGGGCGAGCCTAGCCTAGGTGGTCCGCCACCAAGGGTATTGGAGAGGCTGGAAAAGAAGATGAAGGAAAAGAATTTGGATTATATGGTTGTTTTGATTTCTGAATTGACACCTAAAAAATTGAGCTATTTGGAGATGCAGTGGATGATTGGGTTCAGATTGCGTGCCCTTGGTTAAGAAGCCATTATTGACATCCTTTGAAGCTCAGATTGCTCTTGCTCCGATTATGTCATGGAATGTTTGATGGGAGAAATAATCGAGCACGGGTGAAGCTGGCCCAGGCAATTTACGTACAATCAATGGGGAAATAATCTTTCAGTTTTTGGAGCATATTTAAGTGTGAGTTGGGAGAACGTATTCTAGAGAGAAGGAAGAGTGTTTGGGGTAGAGAGAGAAAGTGAAAGGTGAACGGCAGCTTCGCGATGTTGCCGCCGTTCACAGCAGGTAGAGAGAGACGAGGGAGAGAGGGAGGGGAAGGAGCTGTCGCACAATAGGCAGAGAGAGACGAGTGAGAGAGGGGCAGGAGGGAAAATGGAGGAGGATGAAATGAAATTAGGGTTTGGGTGGTCTAATATTTAATTATCTGAATTTTGATTAAAAAAATTTCACACCTGATTTTTGCACTTCGAAGTTTAAAGACATGATCTATGTAATTGTCCCTTATTCATCTTATATAACGAACCCTTCTCATAATTCTTCCTTAATCCTTAACAAAATCAGCTGACTGCAGCAAAATGTTTTGCCGCCCATTTCCACATTTACACTAACACCACTATCAGTGTGTGGATTAATTTAATGTAACTATTAAATTTTTTTGAAATGGATGGTTGGGCCAAATAATTTATGATTGTGCCTCTAGTCTTCCAATTTTAGAACAAGTGTTGGATGGTGTGATTAATTTAAATCCTTCTATTATGCTTTAGAATCTTAATTAGTTAATTATGCATTTTCTTTATCTTAAATTAACACTCGTTTATTTTATAGTGAAAATAGTCATGGAAAGATTTTATAAAAGAAAATATCCTGATGATGAGGATGGGAAAAATGTTGATGAGAAGAATCAAGAGATGTCATATAGACACAATTTTGATGTTGCACAGCTTTCCATCGATATTGGATTAAGGACTCCACTCTTGGATTATAATGCTAACATTCAAGATCAAATTTCAAGAGAATATATGCAAAAGGTCCATGTCAGCATCTTAACCCTGAATTTAAGAAAAGACAATTTGAAAAAAAAGAATTTAGACTATTCAATTGTTCTTGGTTTAACGAGTTTTGTACTTGGTTGGAGTATAGTGTGGCAATAAATGCAGCTTTTTGCTCATGTTATTATCTTTTCAAAATAAGTAGTGGGAAACAAGGTGGAGGCCACATTGATGGATGATTCACGTATTGGAAATATAAAAAGATGATTGTTACTCAAGTTGGAAAGCATGACGTTCACATAATCAAGCTCGCATTAAATGTGAAGTTTTAATGAATCAAAACAGCACATTCAATCGATTTTCTTCAAGCAGTCAGAACAAATGCTAAATAAATATCATTTTCGGCTTATTGCATCAATTGATTGTGTTCAAGTTTTGTTGTGACAAGGGCATTCATTTTGGGATCATGATGAATCTAAAAATTCTCTCAATCCAAGTAACTTCCTAGTCTAAATACAATTTCTGGCTAATCATAATCATAAGGTTAAGACTGTGACATTGAGAATCATAATCATAAGGTTAAGGCTTTGACATTGGGAAATGCTCCTCACAATCGCAAATTAACATCATTAAGGTACAAAAGGATATTGTAAGTGCTTGTGCTAATGTTAGTGATTCATTATTTTCTATTTTAGTTGATGAATCTCGTAATGTGTCAACACATGAACAAATGTCAGTTGTGTTACATTATGTGAAAAATGGAATTGTAAATGAACGTTTCATAGGCATTTCAAATTTGAGGGGACAAGTTTATGATGGAGAAAGTAATATGCAAGGTCAATTCAATGTAGGGATGTCAAAAAGGCTCATCGGCTCGAGCGACTTGTGGATTGGCCCAGGTAAAGCTCGAGCCTAGCCAACCCGTGTCACTGGCCATTCAGCCTGTCGAGCCAAGCTTTATTTAAAAATTTTAAAAATAGATTTTAAATTCAGAATTTTAAATTCATGCTTATATAAATTGCACAAATTTTAAATTCTTGAAAAAAATTAGATTTATCACGAAAAAAAGAGCCAGCTTGACTCGGCCCGGCCTGCTAAGGCTTAAGCCGAAAACTCTGGTCGTGCTTTCATCTTTTAGTCGAGCAAAAGCTCGGCTCGGCTTGGGCCAAAAAATCCTAAACCATTTTTGCTCGAGCTCTTCAAGTTTCGGTTTGTGGTTCGGCTCGTTGACACTCCTAATTCAATGACCTAAAATCACTCATTTTAAATAAAAACCCTTGTGCCTTTCATTATTTTGTTCATCAACTTCAACTAGCT